GTATATATATATATATATATACTGTTCATATGTATAAATCTTCTGTGTCATGTTTTATTTTCAAATACTTTTGAATATAAAAACAAAGTTTAATTACATTTAAGTATTTTTATTTCAACAGTTTTGAAATGTTAAAAGATGCTTAATTTTGGTGGAAACTGGTATGTCTAGGCCATGAGCATCTGGGTCAACAGTCTGCAGTAACCCAATGCTGATAACCACCCTATACTAAAAAAAGATATTTAATTATTAAAAGTTAAGGTTTAAACACTAAACTCTAATGAAGTATTAGAAGCCAATAAACTTTATACGGGTTAATCATGGATAAATGAAGATGAATGCAAAGATAAAGGAAAAAAACTCATCTGTAGTTTACACAATTTTTGTTTTAATATTGCCTCCAACGAGTAACCACTTGACCACAGTATTTCTAACCACAAGCTTAATAGTATGAATATAACTGACTGACCCAAATGCTAAGTGTCGTGGTAACTATTTAATCAAAAATGTTGAAGCTGTCTCACTGTTCCCATTCCCGATACTTAGCCCTGGTATGCCACACAACTCAAGAGGGTTGCAGACTGATATGACACCAGCAGGTGAAACAGTCTTGCTAATAGCGTTTATAATAACCTTCTGTACTCAGAATTTTGCAACATAAGTGACTGAAATACATGTATCACAGGCATATTGATACTCAACTGTAAGAATCTATAAATTTTCCTTCTGAAATATGAATGAGCCATATTTTTCTGGTGCCTTCTAATTTTTACTAACAAAACTGCAACACTAACAAACACTTTGCTTTGCCAGTATTAATTTTATGCCTTATTTTCTTCAAACAGCTCTATATAAGCTTGGAGAATTATTTATAAAGCAGTAATAGTAGGTTTAACACACTGCTTATACACACTCTCTTGTCCAACCAATAGCATCTTAAAATTTTTGAAAATTTATGTATGTAATTACATACATAAGTGTATGTAATAGAAAATCTTTCTGAAGTTTCTCAGTTGATATGAACAGCTCTTTAAAAATAAAATGTACATAAGATTTTAAGTGTACAATTTTTGAATTTTAAAGTCAAACTTATTTACCTGAATCAACTAACAAGAACATATAGTTTACATAATTCTAGAAGAAAAATAATGTGGTATGAATGATGATATGGAACATTTAAAGACCTAATTTTACACATACACACACACACACACACACACACATATATTTAATTTTAATAGTGCATTATTAAATATTTTGAGTTATTCATCAACTCATGGTAATTCTTCAAACTTCAACCCTTCATACTTTTAGTTTTACCTCTAATCTGTCTGTTCGAGATACTTTCTGTGGGTTAACAAAGGGATTAGGGACAATGCTGAGAGGTGCTGCCATTGCATCTGCAGGCATTAAGCCAAGCATGGGGCTTGGATTCAAGTAGTGGGCGAATGATGCAGCAGAAGCCATGGTGGGAAGTGCTGCCAGATATGGGTTGGTTGTTGCCTTAAAAAGAAAAATATTTCAATTTAAAACATTAAATAACTATATATATTTATGTGTGTGTTCAGTCACCTTTTTTAATAGCTTAACATGGTACAACACCAGCTGGAATAAACTATAATAAAAATAACAATACCATTCAGTGCTAGTAACCAGTGTATTTGTGCTGATAAAGTAATAATAGATATTCAAAACTAACTTTAAAATAGTCTATTTTTACACCTGTCAACAGAAATATTTGAAGTTTCTCCTGTATCCAGCAGAACTACTAACACTAATTCAAGTTAGTCACATATCCAGCAGAACTACTGACATGACAACAAGTTAGTCACATATCCAGAAGAACTACTGACAAGACAACAAGTTTGTCACATACCAAAAAGAACTATTGACATGACAGTAAGTTACTCACATATCCAGCAGAACTAATGACATAACATTAAATTGATCATATATTTCATAGATTAAGCAAAAAATTAAATTATTATTGTCATTTAAATTTAAAAACACAAAAGCATAAATGTTAAAATTACAAAAGGGAGAAAAATAACAATTCCCAAATATGTGTATAAAAGTTTATTAAAAGTAAGCAGTAACCTCACAACATATTATTAGTAAAACTTTTTGGTAAAAATAAATTTTTTATATAACTGTTTTCTAATCAAGATAATTTTTACCAACAGTGCGATGCTAATCAATATTTCTCAAAAATCATATTTATAGACTTTTCTACATAACTTACATGATTTTGTTTCAGTGCAATATTCAAGGTCTTTATAAGTAATTTCAGAAAAAACAAATTACAGAGACATTACAGTGTAAAAAACTATTCAATAAATTGCCTGAATTAAAAGACTGAAACAAAGTTTGTATAAGTGAAATTCACAGTTGAAAAGCATATAGTCTCAACTATATTTGTAATGGAATCATTAGATTCAAAGATTTGTGTTTGTTTTTTACTTATGTCTTTGGGCTTAAGGACCATTCTGATGTGACAGTGTAACTTTTCTATTTGTGTACAGTTTTGTGAGTAATGAGTAAGTTGGCAGAGTTATAAGGAAATCTAAACCAATCAGTTCAGTACTGGCCTACTATGGCAGTTTGAGTTAATCCTCTGTTTGTATGTATATGATAAAGGATATTAACACAAGCCTGAGATTCAATTCTGAAATTCTTTATTTGTTTAAAATCATTTAAATCTGTATTATGTCAAAAACAATTGTTTTAGTCTTTTTGCAATATTATAGGTGCTCCTCAGCCTCTGAAACACTGAATTACTAGAGAATAAATCCTTATAATTACAAAAAAGCTCTTAAAATACTGAAATTTAAAAGTTTAAACTCTAAAACTAAGGTGTTTCTACACATATATATATATATATAAAGTTTAAAGTTCCATGAAGTATAAACTGGAGTTCGTTTATTAATTACAATTATTGTTATTAAAACCTTTTTATTTTTGCTAAATACATAGTTATAGCATTGTTATTTAAAAGAGTTCCCACACACCCATGTATTTTAGCAGCTGGACTAGAACATAAATAAATAAAAGTGTTTAGTATTAGTACTTTTGTCAGTATTATTTAAACAACTGCATCAAAAGTGAACATAATAAAAATGAAAATAGGAAAAAGAAAATCAACTGGAAAAAAGACTACAGCAGTGGTTGGAGAAGAAAGAAAAGAAACAAGAAAAACGAAAAAATAAAAAAGAAGAGAGACTACAGCAGTGGTTGGAGGAGAAAGAAATTAAACAAGAAGCAAGTATCCAACACTTGAGAGAAAGCCAGCATACACAAAAGGAAAAGATTAGTAAATTTCAAAGTGAATTAAATACACCAAAGGACAATTTACTGTCTGTTTACACAGGGAGGATATATTAACCATGGACCTAATCAGCCCCAGACCTTGCAGTTACACCCTAATGCAGACATCTTCAGTTTTGTCAGAAGTCACATTCCAGACATGAGTGTCAGCAATAGGGGTGTTCTAGTATGCAAAAAGCCACAGGAATTCGATGGGAAGGCACCCTGGGAAGCATATAGAGCACAATTTGAGCCCCTGGCAGAGATGAATGGATGGACAGAAGAGCAGAAAGCACTGTATTTAAGAACGAGCCTGAAGGGACAACCACTGGAAATACTAGGACAGTTGTCAGCAGATGACAGGCACAACTATAGAGCACTGGTAGCTGCTCTAGAAGTAAGGTATGGAATTCAAAATCAGTCCGAAGTCTACAGGGCTAGGTTTAGGACGAGAGTCCATGCTAAAGGTGAGAGCCTGCATGAGCTGGCACAGAATTCGGAAAGTATGGCACAGAAGGCCTACCCAACTGCACCACCAGATGTCCTAGAGCTGTTGTTGAGGGATCAGTTTGTAGACACCTTGGACAGTCCACAACTGAAGATACAAGTAAAGTAAGCACACCCCTCTACTATGCCGGATGCAATGGCCAGAGCTCTATAATTCGAATCCTACATTAAGTCCAGTGCAGAAGTACCAAGGTTGGTACAGTCATCAGGATTCAAGGCCAGAAAAGGCCAGCTCTCAGAGAAGTTTGAGGGACTTTGCTGGCACCGTAACAAACCTGGGCACAAGAGAGCTCAATGCTGGAAACTTCAACACGGGGAAGATGCCATGGCAGGAAAGAGTGCTACTCTTATTGGTGGTATTCTTCTTACACTGGCTCCTCATATGTCCTTGCTCTCCACAGTTCCAACAACCTTTCTGGTCAGCTTTGGGAAACCAGTAGTGGTTGGTGCTGAGGGACGCCCACCAACCCCCATCATGAACGTCCCAACAGCTAAGTGTAAAATGGCAAGCACCCATAGTGTCTATGTGACAGGAAAGCTGGATGGCCAAAGGTGCAACTGTTTCATAGATTCTGTGTCTCAGTAAACCCTTGTGAGTATCAAAGTGCTGGATCACAAAGGAGTACCAGAAGCTGTACAGAAGCTCTGTGGTGTGACAGGACATTATGTAAGGTTGTGGGGACCATTGTGGATAACTATTGAGCTAATGGGCATGAAGAACAGACAGAAAGTATACTTGGCTGACATTGAAGACCAATGCATATTAGGGTTGGACTATTTAATACCGAGGAAGTGTGT